TTCAAACACTCGCCCACACACACACATACACACACACATGCATACTCACACTAAACATAAGGACATACAACAAACAGAGGATATATACATGTAGATTCAGTGTAAACAAAGTGTATGTGAGCATGAGTGCGTCCGTACTTGTGTGTAAAACTTTTTTCGTGTGTGTGTGTGTGTATGCCTGCTAAACACACCATTAGTGTAAAGTACGAGTACCATTCTCGCATATAGCATACATAATCAAAGGAAGGAAGGAAGGAAGGATGGATGGATATAGTTTGAAATTATGTTTGCTTTTTTCTCTTTCCTTCTCTGTTGTGTTTTAACGCAAGTGCAATTGATACGTTAAAGTGAATTTCACTTGACATAAAACAAAGAAGAAAAAAAATGTCATAAAATTGTGCCACTGAAAGTAAAACTACTCACATTCACGCACAAAAAAAAATCAGAATAACAATATAATGACAATAAATTCTTACCAATATAAGCAAATAGGAATACTACTACTACTAATAATAATAGTGTATTTCTTAATTCAGATCGGAGTAGTATGCAAGTTACAGGATTTCATCATGAGCTGACATTAGTTAGAGAACTACTGGAAAACCAGCCACAGGGAGTACTGGACAGCCAGCTGTTTCGTCAGTCTAGTTTGGGACTGGCTCTCCAGCAGTACGCACCCATCCGAATGCGGTTCGAACCCAGGACCCTCTGGTTACAAGGCGAACTAGTTCGTAGACCAATGAGCAGCCACTGGGACCCGATTCAATGGCTAACCAGTGCATGAATTCCAACTTCTGCCAATTCACGAAGGACATAGCGCGACCATTTCTAAATGTCTTCTTCTATGAGTTACTGCCTCATCTTCAACCTGCTGTACCCTACTGGTCACGACTTCTCACTAGAACCCCAGGTTAACTGTCTAAATAGGACCAGTCGCTAGTGAGCATCAGATTAATTTTCAAGTATTGGTTTTGGTAGGGATTTTGTTTGATTGATTAGATGGAGGATTTCATCATGGCCGTGGCCAGTAGGGTACAGTAGGTTGAAGATGAGGCAGTAACTCATAGAAGAAGACATTTAGAAATGGTCGCGCTATGTCCTTCGTGAATTGGCAGAAGTTGGAATTCATGCACTGGTTAGCCATTGAATCGGGTCCCAGTGGCTGCTCAATGGTCTACGACCTAGTTCGTCTTGTAACCAGAGGGTCCTGAGTTCGAACCGCATTCGGATGGGTGCGTACTGCTGGAGAGCCAGTCCCAAACTAGACTGACGAAACAGCTGGCTGTCCAGTACTCCCTGTGGCTGGTTTTCCAGTAGTTCTCTAACTAATGTCAGCTCATGATGAAACCCTCCATCCAATCAAACTAAATCCCTACAAAAGCAATTCTTGAAAATATCTCAAATCTATCATCATTTCCTTCTACAGATTTGTTAGGTTATAGGTTATGGGTTGATTCACTGCCTGACAATGTTCCTCATACCCTATCCTTTCCAGCTGGTCATCTGTATGGAGTGAATGGGGTAGATGTTGATCGAAGTCTGCAGTAGCCTATGGGAAATGCTTTCCGTTACGCCAGCACTACTTCTCAGCACCATGCGGAAGCGGTAATCACTTCATGTTGGTGTTGAATATTCGAATTTTGTTTTATCCTGGTGAATTCTATATTGATCTACATACTGAATTCAGAGTGATGAACGCCTTCTGTCTTGCTTTCCCTATGCTGACTGATTTTGACAATCTTATGCATACCGTCGCAATCATTCACACCATAGATGCCTCCTCAAAATTCCTAACCCTGCTTGGTTCATTTTTTCGGTATTTCTCGTACACATATTTTGTGTATGTGCAATTCGATTCTCGGCCAACGTACTCTTAAATTTCGACTAGTTCATCAGATGACAGTAGGCCAGTAACTTCTTCCTGTAAAAAGCAGCACCGTTGCTATCAGGTTTACAGTATTAACTATGCATTACAAAGCTTGATATTATCACTGTATAAATTTATTAGTTTACTAGTGTGTTGTTCAACCACCCGAATGATATTAGACCCGGTGACAGTGAGGTCGTCATTTCACTACAATGCTCGCCTAATCCAGTACAGTTTAGACTGAAACATCAAGACGTAGTTAGACAGCTAATCTCGTCTTCTTCAGTCACATGATAGTTGGTCAACTTCCAGAGTAGTTAATTCAGGGATGGCTAGCACAAATCTGTCCGCTATCTGAAACTTCAAATCACCTTCAACCCCTCCCCCCCACCCATTATATTAGTTGTAGTCCATCTTGCACAGTCCTGCTATCATATGTAACTTATTTATTTCTGCATGTTTCCGAATTATTCTCTAATTTTCACTAAAATATTTGATGGGAAATGCGACTTTATTTAATGTTAAGTATTCAGATTATTTAAATAACGTTCGTTGCCAGAAGATCCGCAGTTATACACCAGAGTAATAGGAAAGTATCCTACTTTGCGTTATACATACAACACGTAAAATCTGAGAATTTTTCCCCGGAGTTTCAGTTTCTTTGATCAACTTGGTATCCGGTTAGTCATTTGTAAGTGGAATGGTCATTTTTCAAATAAATCGAATTACGACCTTGGATTCTGAGTGGAATATAGGGCTTTAACAGCACATCTCCACTTTGTACTGTACTCTGTGGTCCTTTTTAGCTGGACTTATGATTGCTTAGAAGGTCTTATTTTTAAATGATTAAAAATACCCATTAAAATTTTTCAAAAGAAAAGATACTGAACAAAGAATAGTCTTTTAGATAACTTCATCATCAGGCTCTACAGTTTTATACACATCACAGTGAATGAATGAATTAGTGTTGTGAACAACATTAATGTTGTTTAAATAACACTGAATCAATAAAAATAATAATACCAATGGATTACAATTCATTAGTATCAACATAAAATAAGCTGAATGTCAGTTGAATTAGGAAGGATAATATTACAGATTCATGAATTTATAGCCTCTACTGAAGGCCAGCCAGGGCAGTAGTAGGGGCTAGCTGGCTGGACTAGCTTCTTTTGAACACAAAGCACTGGCTGTTTCATACGAATGGCAATAGCCTCTGCTGTTTGGAGCCTGCGGTGCTTCGATGATGATTTTGGAAATTTGTTAGGCACCCGGTAGATGATGATAGAGAAGGATTCTTGCACGCTGGCTGGCTTTGTGGCCGGCCGGTTTGCACCAGATGGACCACTATCGAAGTGTTAATGGTTTTCACTACACCTTTACTAAGCCATACTGGGAAATGTTCTCGACCACAAAAAATCAAGTTCCTAGAGCAACAACGGCCAATATAACTTGCTCCAACACAAGTACAGTTGAATTGGTAGATACAGTTTGAAGCGTCCAGCTAGTCAAAGTACTTCATCTTTCAGTGAAGGCAGCACCATCAGTCGTGTAGTTCGCCAGCATTAAAAGTTCTTTGAACTGATTTTCTTAATTTCCTCGTAATTATCTGACTTGGTATATCGCCTTTGAATTGCAGTCATGTGTATAAAGGCTTCTTGCTTACGGATAGTTACTAGTCCTTTTCTGCTTTCTTTGTCACATGTTTCTTGATAAATTTGTCAGGATAGCTATTTTCAGTCAAAGTTTCACATACAATGTTTAATTCGTCTTCAATTACTTCTTCTGAGTATATAGCTCTAACTCTGTGGCTGAGAGACTTCAGTAAATTTCTTTTGTACTTGATAGCAACGAAGCTGTGAAAATGTGTGTATATTGTCCTGTCCAAGTACTTTTTCTATGCAAATTTCTTTTTATGCTACCATCTGGTTTTCATGTTAATAGGACATCCAGGAAGGCAATTCTGTCTTGGGATTCCTCTTCCCATGTGAATTTCATAGCCAAATATACTTCATTGAATTCAGTAATTATTGTACTCCTATCAGAACCATTATCACAAAGAATAAAGGTATCATTCATATATCGGCAATAAAATGAGAACTATCTGATAAGATGGTTGTTCAAAGGTCCATTTTCTAGCTTACTTAGAAAGAAATCAGCCAGAATGGGACCCAATGGGGAGCCCATCGCCACCTCGTCCACTTGCCTGTAAAGCGTGCCGTCAAATTTGAAGTTTACATTCATGATTCATCTTAATAAAGATTTTCCTTCCGCAGTCTCATCCATGTCACGCTTGGACTAACGCCCAACTCCTCCTCATTTCTCATCCGGACTCCACTCGGAAAATCGCCTGGCGTGAGATATCATTCAGCGGTCTTCTCAGTGTGTGTCCGATCCATCTCTATCCCCTCTCACATACTTCTTGAATGGTTTATTCTCACAGTTTTGTTGCTGTTAATTATTTCCGATTGGCCATCTAATCTTTTGTATAGCGCCAATAGGAGGCAGCTATTGATAAAAGTGTGCATTAGCCTGATGGAAATGCCTTTATTAACTCTAGCACCAAGTTTCCGAAGCACACAGAAGCACTAAGGGACTTAGTATTGATGTTGAAGATCAGAATCTTGTTGTTTATGCTGAGGTTGAGGAGTGCAGAATATTTCCACAGTGAGTTTAGAGAGACAATGACCTGTTTTTCCTTTCCGATCTTGTCTGGTTTTGATATCCTTATCCATGCTGCCACTTGTCGTTGAAAGGACGCTGCCTAGCTGGCGAAAGGGACGGCAGGAAGTAACCTCTTCCGTTCAGATTTCTTCCGTGTTGATGACGACTGGTGCTTGCTGTTATTGGTTGGGTTGTTTTTACCACCTCTATCTTCTCTGTGTGTCTGCAAAACACCCAACAGGATGATTGACAAATTGATGAAACGAAGGCAGTAGAATAAATATAAGTGACCGGGTTTAGCGGAATAAGTTCTCATTCTTTCAGAATGCATAATCGAATGAAGATACCCAAGTGAAGTGTCGTAAAATCGTTTTGTTGAGTTCAAGTTTTTTTTTTTAAGTAAATTCTACGTGTCCAAAATGATTGACTTCACAATTTATTTATTATTTTTTTTTTTGACTTTCTTTAGACTTCACTAACCCTTGATTTGTTAAAAAGTATTGGTCCCGTTGAGTTTATAAATAATGGAGCTGGAATTAAAAATCCTCTGGCATGCAGTACAAAATTCGAAAGGGAGTGGTTAAATCGTCTCTATGGTAAGTATTACTGCGAGAATTTATCGCTTGAATAATTTTTTATGTTATAATTTAATTTAATAGGGCAGTCATTATTCAGACGTAAACTTATTCCCCTACTCCGTATCCGTTAATTTTTAAGGAGTTGGAAGCTTTCATAAAGGATTATTTCAGGGGACAGTTGCTCTGATTTTTCCGCATTTTTTTTTTCGCCTGGCTTAGTAATTCTCACGTGTGATAATGTTTACACCTTCAGTTGTCAGTTTTTAGTAAGGGCTGGCCATTGAATCGGGTCCCAGTAGCTGAATGATATACGAGCTTGCTGGCCTTGTAACCGGAAGGTTCTGGGTTCGAACCCTCTGTGGTGGGTGTATACTGCTGATGATTCACAAACTAGGCTGATGAAACAGCTGTCTGTCCAGTACTCCCTGTGGCCGGTTTTCAATGGTTCTGTAACCGATATCAATCCGTGATCAACTCGTGAAAACATAACTAACCCTTACAAACCAAACTATAGAAAATTTCACCATTTATAGAACGCTTCATTTCAATCAATTTGGCTTGTGAAAGCCAACTTGTGTTAGCTATCAGAGGAATATTTCCAACAGCCGGAGAACGCACATACACATACTTTATAGATGTGTTTCACGGACGATATCCTCTGAGCACCTCGTCACTGATGACAAAAATAATTGGTCTGTGAAGTGACATAGTATCAGCTCCTTGCATAGTATCAGCCTATACAGGTAGCAATTAGTAAGTAGTACGCCTTACTTGTTTATGTCGTGTCATCTTAAAACTACTCCTCTTCTTCTTCTTCAAAGGTGATCAATACTGCTTCATTTATTTACGCCTTTTTTTGTTTTTGTCAACATTTATATATTTATATATTCTGTAAAGATAAGGAAAGTACTTTTATTATTATTAGAAAGAATCCTGATTACTGTTATGATATTTCTTTTAAAAGTAGGTTTTTAATATTATTAGTGTTTCAAAGAAAAAAAATAAGACAAGTAATCGGTTAGATCCTTTCTGTTTGTATATATATAACAGGAGGTAGTCTTCTATTGTGGGTTACGCCAGAGACGTTGCTGTTGACAATTAAAAATATCAGCTGACAAAATGTCGCCTAACTTCAACTGTGTGAGCATCCAGTGTAGTTAACCACATTAATTAAGTCTGAGTTAAATATTAGCTTTAGTTATACAGTGTCGATAAGGTAAAGTAACCTGCTAGCCAGAGAGAAATGTTCTAATCATTGAAAGGCCGTTTCGTTTGCTTGGAGGCGAGTCCTCCTCCTCCTCTCCCTACACTTCTAAGCATTGTTCACTCATGAAACTGCAAGGGATTCACTTAGGAACGGTTGAGATTTAGCAGCGCATAGTTTTCAAATTCTACTACTCAAGGACACAAAACGAAACCCCCATTCAACATCGACAACAAATAAAACTACCTTTTCATTATGGTTATTGTTTTATGTTTTTATTTTAGTCCTTTACGCGTTCTCAGTGGTATTTATCTGCACGGGATGATGGGCTGCTAGTCTCATGCCCAACCACTGTGCCATCAACGTACACTGTCCTCTCATGCTGCATAGTTAATTTCACAAACTATGACTTACTGCTAAGATTAAGGCAGTTTATAAGGAATAAGATTAGCATTTTCAACACCAATGTGAAATCAGTCAGTTCTTCTATACGAGTCAGAAAATTGACCAGCGTGTCACAAGAAGGATTTCCGACAGCCAGTTGCAGACTTTCATTAACAGCTGCCTTCGCTGGCTGATCGGTCAGCCAGTGTGATCGCTCAACAAATATGTAGGAGAACGTGGAAATGGATTGATCGAGCATCCATTGAGGAAGCTGTCGAATAACATCACATGCCAGGTACCCGAGTGGAATCCCGTCGGGAAGCGACAAGTGGGTCGTCAGTGCTACGGTGACATGGAGAAGATCGTGTGAGTTAGAAGAGATGAGAGAGTTTGGTCAATCGTGGAGCCAGCTGAAGAGAACGGCAGAGAACAGAACAAAGTGGAGATTTGGTGTTGAAGACAGCCCAATTTTCCACTCGGAACGCAAGGGAATAATAATAATAATTTAAGAGTTATGGAGTGTTTCTTAGTTAGTAGTTTTCTGGAGGCTTAATCGACTGAGTATCGCAAAAGACTCCCAAACTCAAACTAGACAGTTATTCAGCACTTTATGGTTTTTAGCTTAGAGAAATTGTAGTGAAGGTGTTATTAATGCATTAAGACAGGCTGCCATGCACACACACACACTCTATGGTTGAATACCTCAGTTATACCATATTTCACCTATTAATATACCTGATACAAGTGACTTTATAAGACATGTAAACATTGCAATGAACAGACCCCCCCTCCTGAGATTTTCATACAGGATACCTCGAATGCTAATTACTTCCTACTCTTATACCGAACAGACCATTAGTTTCTGCGGGGTAAAAGTCTATTTTACGAAAATTTCTTTGTGAAAAGAGTCATTTACATAATTAAGTTCGGTAAATTTGGTAAAGAGAGGAATTTTTCGCCCCATGAGTTAGGTAACATAATGAAGGTTGCTTTAAATCATTAGTGGCTTGGAGGGGGGAGCTGGTGGAGTAAATGTGTTACTTGGACTGAATACATTTGCGCATATCAAAAGTGTACCACAGTCAGTTAGATTATATCCATTTTACTTAACACACTAGCTATTATTTCGTATGTGTAGTATCCAGGTGATACTATTGGTACACAAATAAAAGCCTCTGCTGATAAACTTCACCCTTATAATAGTATAGAAACTGGCACATTTCGGTCGTAATAGCTATTATCCATCTTGCCTTGAAGTCTGAATAGCACAAATGCCCACCTTGTTATTAAGGCACACTTTAGACTCTTTGAAATAAAACAACAACAACAACAACAGCAACAACATCCAACGTCAATCACCACCAACGGGAGGGATTTGAAAGAGGTTACTTCATTCACTTACTTATCTAGGAAGGGAGCATTGTCTCAACTACAGGAAGTCGGAACACACGAGGATGTCAAATCGAGAGAGAATCGGGGGGAGAGGGGCGAGAAACACATTCATTCATCAACCTGAAACAACCAATCTGGAAACCAATCTTCGTCACTCAGCCAGAATCAACAACAAAATTCCGTCAGTCGGATTTTCAATACAAACAACGTCAAGTCAGTCAGTTCTTGTATACGGATCAGAAAGTTGGCGTGTTGGGGGGTGGGTCACAAAGAATATTTCCACCAACGGTCTGTTTCAGACCTTACCTTTATCAACAACTAACTGTATTCGCTGGATCAATACTGAAGATCAGATGGCCGGGCCGGGCCAGGCCAGGCCGGGGGGCCGGAAAGAATCACCAACAACAAGAAACTATGGGAACAAACAAACAAAACAAGAACAAAACAATCGCCCACCAACAGCAAATATGCAGGAGAGAGTGGAGATGGATTGGACACTCGCTGAGTAGGCAGCCGCTGGGTGACATCGCGCGCGCATCAGGCCATTGTTCGAGTGGAACCCGACCGAAAAGGAAGCACGAGGTGAGTGTGTCATCAGTGTGAGGGTAACATGGAGGAGATGGTGTGAAGAGGAGTTGAAAGAGTATGGACTAAGATGGATGCAGATGAGAAGTACAGCAGAAGGAAGACAGAAGTGGTAAGTGGAGACGTGCAGTTGAAGCCCTATGTTCCACTAGGAACCCAAGGGAACAGTTATAATAATATAATGTAGTATGCAAATCTGTGTGTTGTTGTTATTCTCTTGGGTTCTGTGTGGAATGGAACATAGGGCTTGGCTGGGCTGGGCTAAGGCAATACATCTTCACTTTATCCTATTCTCTACAGTCTTTTTCAACCGGCTCCATGACTGTCTATCGGCTCGCCTAGTTTGCTAGCCGGTCCTAAGCTGGCCTCGTAAAAGAGGGTGGGTTGGAGGTGAAACTAGCAACTCCACCAGGAAAAATTAGTCTAATCACTAGAAAAAAAAGCTTCAAAACATAGAGCCGAATAACTATGTACAATTGTTGGTTTTCAGTGCAAAAATACTGAAATGAAGTGTATTTCACGTAGTACTTGACTATAAGTCATGTTGACGTGATACTAATATTACCATTTTCATCTGAGCGCTATCTGGGAAGATTTTTTCGCTATCTGCGTATCGCTGGAAAACGAAAACGGACTGATGTCATTTAGATAACCACTGAAAATCACTGAGGAGAAATGCATAGATGTTTTGCCCTAGTTTTGAACTCATCGGCAGTACACCACACTCACTGGGATTCAAATCTAAGACCTTCCAATTAAGAAGACAGTTGCAGAGAAGAAAATTTTCTTTCCGACGAAGTCACCATCAACTAGGCTGTACATTCGTGTATTTATATCAAATGGATGGGAAGGTTCCAGAATAATGATTTCCGGTTAAAGGGTCAAATTAATAAAAATTACAATTCGGAATTGAAATGCCATAATAAACAGGGGACGGTGGATAAAACTCAAACAAAGTAGCATCACAATCACTGAGAAGATTGACATATTGTGCAGTTAGGGGTTAGAAATGTAGAAATAAAAACAACAGACAGGATGTTTGGATAAATACTAATGTGATGAATAATTGTTTATGCAATCAGGGATTAAATATGTAGAAATAATAAAATGACAAAATAAAGGGGAAGTTCGTATATGAAAGTAGTGTAAATAGGAGGGATTAAGAAAACTTAAAAATAACGTGAATAAACAGGAAGTTTGGATAAAAAAGGCGATGGGATGGTCATTACTATGGCCATGGCAGGCACTGGCAGGCGTTGAACGTATTTCTTTTGGATACAAAGCGTGAGTTTGAGCTTTTGGATAGCTAGTGCCTCAGCTATGCCCAGATGTTCTGTCACTGAACTATATACACAAGTTTTCGTTCTCCTTTTACTAGCCAGTCTGGATAGTGCTCACGAGAGCGTTTTTCAAGTTGGTGCATGGTACGGCCGATGTACTCAGCTCCGCAAGA